CTACCGCCGGGCCTGGGATTCGAACCTAGTGGAATCAGAATCCTACAGGTCCATTACCTCACCTTGACCCTACCAAAACAGACTAGTGGGTCAATCGGTCTGGTAGAGGCGGGGGCGGGGCGCCCCCTGCCCTGCGGAGGACGCCGAGGGCCGCGCCGCGCTGTTCATTGGCTGCGGCGAGGCAGGTGCACCCTAGCCAATCAGCGGGGCCGGGGGCGGGGCCTTCGAGGCTCACCTGGCAGCCTGGGCGCTGCCGGCTCAGTGGCGTTGGGAGCCGCAAAGCACCTGTGAGTTCGCGGAAGTCCGCTCAGACTCTAGCCCGGCCCAGCCCGGCCCGACCCGACAGCGCCCGGTCCCCTCCTTTGCTCGGGACCTCGGCCCGCCATGGGCCCTCCGTGCCTCAGGTTCTTCGCACTGCTGCTGTTGCTGCAGGTACGTCGGGGTCCCTGACTAGTGCGGGACGCTTTCCGGCCCCATGGTCTGTGCCCCAGTCCCGCTTCCCTTCTTCCAGGAAAGTTTGGGTGCAAGAGGCCGGAACGGCTTGGAAGCTGTGCGGTACTCCAGAACTCCGCGGTGATAAGAGTTAGAGGGGGTGCGGCGCAAGCGCTGCTTTGTGCGCCCCACCCCCAGCAAATACCGCGGTGAGGGGCGCCTGGTTGCAGGCTCCGGGAGCTCCGGGTTGGCCGCGGTGTGGGCTCGGGGCGGGGAGTGGGGGCGCATTAGGGTAGCTGTTGGATCTGGAAAAGGAAGCTTCAGGTGTAGCGGGAAAGATCCCTGGGGTAAGGAAAGGGGGTTATCAGTAGAAAAAGAGCACCTGCTTTAAGCAAAGGGCAGTAAATAGGAATGAGGGGGGTCCGGGGTAAGAGAATAAGAAAATGGGGTCAAAGGAGGTCGGAGTGCACCTCGGTATGAGGAGTAGGGAACGTGCCTGATCTAAGGAAGGTGGAGTCTGAAAGAGTAAAGACGTCTCCAACAAAAAGGAGACGGGAAGGAAGGCCCTACACGGCGGGCCCTACTCCTGAAGTTTCTAGGGGTCGGCAGCCGGAGGTCTTGGGTTGGGAGAGGATGACGTCGCTGCCTGCCCGGGGCTGAGTTCTCCCACAATCCGGGCGCCGGGAGCTAGGGAGGGGCGACGCGGTTGGTTTCGGTGTGGGCTGTAGGGACTCCCCCCACCTCTGGTCACCCAGGTTTCATACCTTCCCCCCACCCCCCACCTCAGGTCTCATCGCATTTGTGCCAGCAGTCAGAGCCCTGCTATCCCGGATTTGGCGCGGACAGCTACACTTTTACCGTGCCCCGGCGACATTTGGAACGAAGGCGTGTCCTGGGCCGAGGTGAGGGCGCACCGCCGCTGTCCCTGGGCGGAGTGGGGTTGGGTTGAGATGGAGTTGAGAAATCGCTCTCCCATGCCGCTGGTTGGAAGGAGCGAGTTCCCTCCGTGACTCAAACCACACCCCACTGGAATTGGGATCTAAACTTTGACCATGATTGAGCACTGTGCTTGAGAAGGTAACCCTGCCTGGTTAAGCATGTTGTAGAGAAGCAGAGGTGCCAGGCACTTACTAGATAGAGGCTTTCTGGGGTTCTCATATTGTCCTGACCACCTTAGAGGCAGTCTGTCCTTTCAGGCTGCAAAAACCTGCTGGGTGGGAAGGTGGGGGCAGGAATGTTCCTGTTTTCCAGATGAGCAAATCGAGGCTCAGAAGGTGATCTCCACTTGCCCAGGGTCAGTAGAGAGGAATTTGAACTGGGATCTGACTTCCAGATCTCTGGGTGACTGAGGAGCCCTCTCTTGGTTTCCAGGGATGTGGCTTTTGTTCATAGAGATGAAACCATTTTGATACAGGTACTATTTTCTTCCGAGGAATAATGACCCCCCCCCCCACCCCCCCCAGCATGGTAGCTCTGACTCAGGTTGAAATGCACACAAACACTCAATGTACTTCTAGGCCTTATCGCTGTGATAATCTAGAGTTTGTTTTGTTCCGCTTTGCTGTTGCCCAAGGGTAGAGAGAAGGGGTTGGTTTCTCTTCTGGTTTCACTGATTTCCCAGGTGTTCACTTGGTATCAAACTACATTCTCCTTCCTCGTGAATGTAGTTGATTGGGGGAATAGCATAATGATAAAATAAGTTCTTTTTTAACTTCCGCTGTGTTCATTCTTCCAGTCTTTGGCCATGTGAAAAATCAGCAGCAATCATGCTGTTGTCTTAGAAAATTTTTTTTGAACTTTGGAATTTGTTCAACAGTGGGTGGATTTTTGTATTTTTTTAAAAGAGAAACTGCAGTTTGATTGATGAAACATATTTGCTTTTCTGAGGCCCTCCTGCGTGCTGTGGAGCCTTCTATTGGATCAGAAAGGAAGCGTTGTCTGCCCAATATTGCAGGGGCTCTGCCATCACTCAGCCAGTTTCTACTTGATGTTTAGCCTAGCCTGACCGTTCTAGGCCTGGGATGTTTTGATGCCTCAGTGGACAGTCAGGACTGGCTTTTTAGAGGAGGCAAACTTAATCCAGCCTTGGAGAGTGAGGCAGGGGTTAGAAATGAGATAGAGAGAGAAGGCTCGCCGCCTGTGGCTTAAGCGGCTAAGGCGCCAGCCACATACACCTAAGGTGGCGGGTTCGAATCCCCAGCCCGGGCCCACCAAACAACAATAATGGCTGCAACCAAAAAATAGCC